GACACGACCGTGGACAGCACCTTATACTGCCGTATTTTTTACGATTTCGTGCAGCAGCTGGATGATGTGGAACTTACACAGGGTTATTTTCAGCAGGATTCACAGACGTGCCACACGTCCAACATGTCCATGGAACTGTTTGAGACCTTCTTCCCCGATCGCGTGATCTCTAAAAAGATGTGGCCCCCAAAATCCCCGGACCTTATCAGCCAGGATTTTTTTCTCTGGGGTTTACTGAAGGACGGGGTGTGTGCAAACAAACCACGTACATGATAGGATTTAAAGGACAACATTTCGGCTGAAATCAGGAACATCACTGAAGAAACACTTCAGCGAGTCACGGCGAATATGCAAACGCGGGTGGAGGCGTGCCTACTTGTAAACGGCGGACACTTTCAACACCTGCTCTGATCACGGAACACAATCCAAGATAAGATATGTGTAAATTACTTTAATATCTGTATGGTATATTTTATATTACAGCTCATTTCGTTGGGCCGGTTCTATATGAATCATCCTGTATAAACTTTTCGATGCTTTGATCCCACATGTTGCAGCTAGAGGAACTAGAGCGAGCGCGAAGACTGGCAGGAAAAGACACAACTCGTTGACTGAAGGTCAAATCGTGCACGATTTCCAGTTGTAAGTGTGCGCACTCCCATAAGGGCTGGAACACACACAGCGACATCGGTCGTAGGACGTCCGTACGGTTCATGTCGCATCAGGTATTAGAATATAAAGTATAGTCTTAGCTTTCATACTTGACGACATGCGACATCTACCGTAAGACAGTCGGAGAGCAAAGAAATGTATTTGGTCGCTCTGGTGGGAAAAGGAGGTCGTACGGCAAAAAAACCGTACTACATTTTTCCGTACGACCGACGTCACTGTGTGTGTTCCAGCCCCTACAGCTCATGCACGCCGTTATCAGCCACAGTTGAGTCGGCGGACAGTTGAGGTAGACCCCAACTGCTCACCGACTGTTGGAACCACTATCGTGATGTGTGCGCACTCCCATTAAACGCAATGTTTCTCGGCGACGTGGGCAACTATCGGCCAACTAAAAATTGCATGTGTGCGCTAGGTTCACGGCGATTTTAGTTTTATTTTATCAGTGGAGGTTGCTCCCAGTTGTGTTCAATCCCTCTTGAGGAATTTATCCTTAGTTGGGCCGATCCCATGTCCACAGCGTCCTGCCTAATTTCTTAAAGAATCCATCCATTCAAGAGTAATGGTGAAAGCTGAAAAGCAAGGTCGCACCTGATGTGGACTAACGAGCGGTGGAATGAGTGTTATTTATTTAGGCTACATATTTACTGTGAGAATTATGAAGTGTATTAAAGGTCCACGGAGAGCATTAATCTGATATACATGTTAGAACAAGCATTAATTGTCCATTAAATGTTATTTGTCTACGGCTCATTTAACGGCGTTATCAGTGTCTCAGATTATGTAGTCGTAGTGAGGTACACTCACTGAACTTGCGGAGCCGCATGTCATAATTTCCAGATCTTCAGATGCCGGCAAACAGACGTTGACCAGCTGGCGTAGATGTTTAGACAAATATTTTCCAGGCAGCAAATTTTTAAATATTTAATGCACTTGAAAGAAACAGGGGTATTGGAACATTCTTTAATATTAATTTTCATGAGTTGCACTAATGTTTCAAAGTATCGGCGTGTAGCTCGCGAACCAGTTTGGAAACCTCTGTTACATAGCCCACAATAGTAGAATGTTTGATGAGTATTGAATTAGAAATGGCAGTGAAAGACTAGATCGTGGCCTAATTGAGATACTCTGTATTTGCCTGGAGGGACTGAGGAGAACCAAAAAAGACCTCAGGATAGTCAGTGCCATGCCGTGATTTGAACCCCATACTTCCTAAATACAAGTCCAGAACGTTACAGCGTGAGCCAGCTTGCTTTCTAATTTATTAAAGATATGTGATATGAGAAATAATCAATGTCATTATTTTAATACAGTTCAGTTTAAGAAACATCAGGGTGAGGAAAGGGTACTTAGCTGTTACTATGGCCCGGATCTTTTTGCGCTAAAAAGCGGGAAAATATGCACCAAAAATAAAACAATATGCGCTTAAGAAGCAGGTCACTTTATTCAGACTCACCTATTTACATGTATCATTCACTGCAGAAAGTAGCATCACAATAGGCAACTAGTAGTCTTTCAGTGTTTTCTGGAGACAAACTACGCCTATTGTCCGTCAAAATGAGTTTATAGGCTGAGAATGATCTTTCTACATCAACTGACGTGATTGGACAGTATTTATACACTGGCGCGAAAGGTTCAGAACATTCATCTGGCAAAGATACCCTAATTCCACTCAAGTACTGACTAATTGACTGAATCTTTTTTAGCCCTGGGTTCGATTTCAACACCTTTTCTAACTTGAATTTAATCTTTTCCCCAATTTCGCCTGGAGCGGAATTCAGTGAACAAGTTGCCTTCTGAACGAGTTCAAGTGAGTCGTGAAGGAGTGCACCACAAGATGCTAAGCTCTCAGTGGCTTTTGAAACTGTAGAAAAATGTGCATGGATAAAATTCACATCTTGATAAACAGTATCACTTCCAAACTCCACTTTTGCTTCACGGACACATGCATTCTCATCTTCAAGTTTTGTAACCACTTCTTTTACTTGACTGAAATTCTCCTGATAAAATGAAACTGCGGATATCCATGTCCCCCACCTAGTTAGGACAGGTTCAGGTGGCAGAGGAACCTGAGATAGGCAATCTTTGTAGAACTGGACACGAGCTGGTGCTTTCAGAAACATTTTTTTCCCACTTGCAATTAAATCGTTAACAGCTGGAAACTGTGCGCGTATTTCTTCTGTAATACGGTGTAATCCGTGCGCTAAACAGGTTACGTGTATAAGATTTGGATAAAATACTTATAAAGCCTTTGCTGCTTTCAACATATAGGAAGCTGCATCTGTAAGTAATACAAGCACCTTACAACAATTATTCTCAATTTCAGATGGCCATAGTAGTCGCAGAGAATCATTTACAGATCTTGCTATTGTGCTATGGTTGGTTTTCTCTAGTACTTTGCAAGCAAGAAGATGAGGGTTGCCGGGTTCGTCTGGATGTAGCTTACCAACTATAAAATTTGCTATGTATCGGCCACACAAATCGGTTGTCTCATCCTCCGATATCCAGACACAGTTCTCTCCGATGTCCGAACGGATTGACTCCAGAGTAGATTCATACAGCAAAGGTAGATAATTTTTTCTAAGAGTTGATTCATGCGGGATTTTCTTAATTACACAATATTTCTCCAGAAATGATCGCAGAACTGGATTGCTTAATTTATTCCATGGAATGTTGCTGCATACTAAAGCCTTACAAAGATCGGCTGAAAATACGTATATGAACAGAGGATTTGGGGTTGACCTCTGTAAGAAGTAGCTGTTGTGGTGTGCTGTTCTTCTTCCCCTTCTTTGCCGCAATATGTGCAGTCGTTCTTGAGTGTTGTTCAAGTTGAAATTTCTTTTCACATTTTACTTCCTTTGGGCACACTTGACAGTACACGTCAACACCCTCTGTTGAATAGTCACTATTACCCGACACCCACCGAATTTTTAAATATCTACTGCTGCACTTTTCTTTAGGCATTTTCAGTACACGAACACTTTTTTGATGCAGACTATTAAAGTAAAGCGTAACACATTAACTGAAGAGACTTCCCTCAAGACCAACCCTCTGATGCTACTGTCTGCTGTGGTGGTCAGTGGAATGCAGGAAAATCTCACCCCCTCCCTTTCGAAATAGCCAAGCTACCTGCTTGTATTGTAAGTGGTAAAAGTGCCGTTACTCAGAGAGTTGAGAATAGCGACTGGCAAGGGATGTCCAAAACACAGGCAAAACCGATTTTGTTAGAGAACATTGAAATTATCCTTAATTCCAAACATATATTCAGAAATATGCTCTTACGTTTAGAATATGTAGTAACGACCACAAACCCCAAAATATGCATTTGCATATGCACATATGCATTTTCAAAAAATCCGGGCCCTAGCTATTACACACAAACTAATGACACGCCAGTTAAACGACAGTGCAAACAAATGCAAAAGGAAAACATCTATGAACAGAACCTGATCTTTGCGAAAGTTGCGGAAGTAATCCCCAAAGGATACAAATTATGTTAAACAAAATTATAAGTATCGAATAATCGTAACGATTTTGTGCCTTTAGGATAATGTATCGCAGATCACGGAAGAAATATGCAAATAAATTTAGTCTCACAACATTTTATCATTGAACATGAAGACAGAGAAGGAATGGGCTATAAAACGTAGCTTATACAGATTGAATACAAACATAATACCAAGAAAGCACCGCAATACAAAACCTTGGGACATAGAGGCCCTGGACTATCAAGGAAGCAGCTGAGCCTGATACTGCATAAGTAATGATTATACACATATATGAAAGACAAATGCACAGTTTTGCTCCAAAGACCTGAAGGGAAGAGAACACTTCGAAGTCTTAGGAATTGATAGGAGTATAATATTAAAAACTTGTCGTAGAGAATAGGGTAGGAGGGTCTGGACTGGGTTAATTTTGAGAATAGGGACCAGTGGCGAGATTTTGTTAATAGGATAAAATGTGGGAAATTTCTTGAGCAGCCCTGTCTGAGCGATTGTTAGCTCCTCAAGAAGGTTTGTGTACCTTGGATCTAGTTGTATATCACTGCATTACTCTTTCTGCAGTGCACCTGTCTGTTTGCCCCTCTTTCAGCTTTTGAACCAGTAGACCAATTTTCACTAAACTGAGTATGCCATTAGAAGCTATCCAGCCTATTTAGCCTACTTTCAATCCCTAAGGAAAAAGTAAATTTATGGGATGATTATACTGTTTATGTGTGCGATTCAAACTTCTGGATTTTACTTTTAATTACGCTAGAAAATGGACAATAATCACCAAGACATTTTCATCGTATATTCTTAGTAGGCCTAACACTTAATGATATTTTTCAGATGGCACTCCGATTGGGCGCACAACAGTGGAGAAAGAACAAACGAAGTTGGACCAGAAGGTGAGCACAATTCAACTCAATAGTACAAGGTTCACAGAAGGTATGAACGAATTTCAATACTGGAGAACATATCCGCAGTCTTTTGCTTCATAAATGAGACCTCCTGACAGTAACTTCCACATCTAATCCTATTTCAGCCATGACTGATCAACATTATTCGACAGTGTCTATTTATAATTCTGTTAATGTAAGCAGCTAATATAAAACTTTATTAAAATCTCTCTGCTGGGAGCTGTGTAGTCGAACTCAGCAGAGCCACAAGATGTTCCATGCATTGCCAAACTGTCGGGAAGGCGAATGTTTCTTAATATTATTATTTGTATTTAATTGTTGATGTGTTCTGTTAAAATGCAAAGCTTTGTCATTAGTACTAAAGTATTCAATTTATCCCTTCTGTAATGGCTAACCCACGTAAAAAGAACCGACTGTCCGTCAGCGAATGGTTTCATGTGTTCTAGGCTCGCTGGTCGCCATGGAACGCTCTGGTTGGGAACCGCACAGCAGACAAAAGGAGAGCCCTGGATGACTCCTTTGTTGGCGTAAGTGAGCTCAGAAACTATTAGCTCAAATTATGACATATTTTCCTCGTAAGAATACGAGAGATTGTCTGTTACAGGCTCAGTAGTACAAGTGTCTTAGGATGGTATCCAGTGACAGGCTATGGTATTAGCGTTGTTGGTCCTTCGGGTTGTGCAGTGTTGGTTTTCTTACAGCCTGGTTTCCATTGCAAATGTATGGATGTGTGCTGTATGTGCTTACTATCAATCCAAAGCCTCCGTAGTCTAGGGGTAACGTTCCCACCTCATGACGCAAGGTACGCGGGTTCAAACCCGGCGGAGGTCATGGAATTTTTATGGGCGGAAAAATTCAGGGAACAAGTCCTCCGGGAGGGACTTTAAGCCGTGTGTCCCGTGTCGTAGATTTACGGCACATAAAAGATCCTCATGTCTCTAGGAGACCTCCGAGCGAAATTAGGCAACAATTTCCCGCCCGAGTAGTTTCCAACGCCTCTGGTAGATGGGGGAAATATCAGGTACCGACGGCCGACCTCGTTGGCTGAACGGGGCTGATAGCACGCATCAGTACCGTTGATATGTTTCGTGGTTTTCCTCAGTCCCTGCAGGTGAATTGCAAGGTAGTATCTTGAAATATGTCGCTACCGCTTCTTTTATACCCTTTCCAGTTCATCATTCAATAACTATCCTGCCATCCCGCCATTATGGCCACAGTTACTCAGTAACGCCGTTAAATAAACCACAAATAAATTAAGTATAGGGGCCCTTGGAGCTTCTGTTATGTTTAGGATTGGCATTGGGTGGGTTAAAGGGTGTGGGATGTGAGGTATAATCGCGTTGTTGGGGGAGACTCTTCAGCTATACCTGGGACCATTGTTCCATTTCTCTTTGTCTATATACTTCCCAAATGCGTGGCAGACACTTGTACACGTGCAGGGTGGTGTTACTATGAAGTGGTACAGGAACAAACTCTTTTACGCCATTGTTCAGTAGAGAAGCAATTGAGTTGTGTGACTTCCAAGACTGTTCGTAACGCGAGCACTGGTAATATTCGTTTTTCGAGATTATTTGCATAACAGCATGTGGATTAGCTTAGCGGTAACGCATCTGATTCTCATGTGTCCAACTCGAACCTCAGCTGGTTGGTTGCGCTTCGTTTAACAGTACCAGTTGCATAATCTCAAATGATCGAAAGATGCGGTTAAACAATTATCGCTCCTGCTCTGTAAAGGGAGGTCCCGCATTCATATCTCTTCTGTGCTATTTGCTGTCCTGAATGAGAAAATCGTGGTTTTCTCCAAAGCACATGCTGGGATAGGACCTCAAATTTGACCCCACCTGCTTTCTTCCAAATCTTTTCCAATCCATAATTCGCTGGTCGTCCTGTCATTCTACTCTGTATAATTCGGGCTCTTGAAATTGGAGTTAAATAAATCATAAATAGACAAATTATTGTCCTTCATGACGTACTGTGTTTTTGGCCCACCCTTAAATTGTTCGTTTCCAAATTTTTACAGAGCTTTCATTGTTTCTTTTTCTTGTGTTCCGTTTGTAGCCAGTCATTGGAGAGCTCCATAAGTATCGAAAGGTACAGGCACGTAAAAATCATAGCATGTCACTGGTTCAGTATTCAGCAGATAAATCGTAAAATAGTAAGCAATAAAAAAAAAGTAGACGTGATGACGCGAATGGTATTAAAGTAACTGAATTGAGATGGGTAAGGAATATTTTTGGTCTAATTCATTGTACAGCACAAATATTTTTCTGGCCTGTGTTATAAGAGCTTAAGAACTCATATCACGACAATCTGCTTTGAGATTTGATCTCCTCTGTGATTCTCATTTGTTGAGCTTTGTGTTACCTTCTCATTTATTTATTATATTTTATGTTATGATGCTGTTGCTCATAGCTTAGACTGTATAGTCCATAACTTCCTGGCATGTGAATAACCCCCTTGATTTCCCCATAACATTCACAAGAGTAATCGTAAAATGATGAACACATCAGCAGTGACCTTTTACTCTCATACATTCTTCTTATTATTTCATATCAGCTCCCATGCAACTGCAGGTTTTGGAACAATCCAATTCAGAAATGACTAATCCCCTTTTCTCTGAACTAAATAACTCTGTGGAGCAGAGACATGACATGACATGACATGACAGTCGAGTGCATAGCACTCATACTTTGTATTCCAGAAGCCCCTGTGTTTAAATCTTTGCTGAGGCTATCCTGAGTGAGATTCTCTTCATAGTTTCTCTCAGTTAGCCCAAGCAAATTCCAGAATAATACTTCAAATTATGCCTATGTCACTTTCTTCCACATCCTTCCCTAATAAGCATTTGGTGCTGTTTGTAGTTAGCTGTGTCCAATGCAGTTTGCATGTCCAGTGAAATTGCATTGGACACAGCTAACTACAGACCCGCTAAATGGCTCAGATATGTCGATGACACGTTCGTGATATGGCCACATGGACCAGCAAAGTTACAGGAATTTCTCCACCATATAAACAGGTCGTATGACAGATTACTGATGAAATGAAATAAACAGCATTAGGCCTACCATCAAATTCACTATAGAAGTTGAGGCTAATAATACCATTCCATTCTTGGACGTTTTGGTCGTGAAGCGGGGTCCAAAACTGACCACAAAAGTGTTCTGGAAGCGGGCTCATACTGGTCATTATCTTCGCTTCATATCCAACCACCCACATCACGTAAAAAGGGGAGTCATTCATAGTTGAGTCAACCGAGCAAAGGTCATATATCAGAACCAGAAGGATTTTAACAACAAAATTAAAAACATAAGACATGACCTGGTGCCCAATGAATATCCAAAAGAATTAGTTGACTCTGTAATGAAGCCATCGGTAAGAAATCGTCCCTCTTCAGACACAGTATACCAGGGCACTATCATCATCCCATATGTTGAGGGCACTTCCGAGAAATTCAGACACATTTGGAACCATTTCCGTCTCAGAACCATCTTCAAAACTAAACATACACTATGTGGGACATTGATGAAAACTGGGCTAGTTAGAGATGCCCAGCAGACGAAGCAGTGTGTGTAAAGCATCTCATGTGACTGTGGCAGACATTACATCAGCGAAACAAGCAGACCTTTAGAAGTACGCATTAAGGAGCACAAATATAACCCGACACAGGGTTTGCTGGAAAAATCAAATTTAGCCCAACATGCATACAAGGAAGGACTAGCTCTATCGATTGGATCCAACCGAGAAGGTTTTACCTGAAGATGGAGACAGATTCCAGCCTCTAAAACGTTGTGTTTTGAAAAATGGTTTTACCTGAAGATGGAAACAGATTCCAGTCTGCAAAACGTTGTGTTTTGAAAAATAAACAGGAATCCCAAGGCCATCTTATCTGTCATGTATGCCAGTCTCTTGGAGATGGATGGAAGAGAAGCTCTTTGAACAGTATTCATATCTGGTTCCATGGTGCAGAGTTTTTCTTTAAAAGTTTATAGTTACTCAGATGGTCAAGAAATTCCTTGCCCTTATGGAGTTCATTATCATTTCTTTAGAAATCCCATCACTGGGTCCTGTCTTGAACCAGTTCAATTCTGTTTCTCCATTATCCAGCTTATCCTCCCATCTACATTTAGGTCTCTGAAATGGTCACATCTCTCAAGATTTTATGACAGAGGTGTTTATGTATTTCTCATCTCCACCGTGTTTGTTACATCTTCCTTGATTTTACAACATTGATACTTGGTGAAGAGTGCAGGCTTCAAGATTCCTCATTATATAGCTTTCTCCATCCTCCTATTCCAAATATTCTCCTTGACACTGTGTTCTCAAATTCGCTCTGTCTATAACATTAATATCTTCTCTTTATAGTCAAAAGCATAGTAATGTCTAGTATAATATTAATTTGTAGAATAAGAGTGAGATGTATGGTGTCTATTATGTTGTCAGGAGCCACAAGTGAATATAGTTGCACTCAGGAGTCATGACTTTACTGGTCTGGGGTTCAATATCTGTGGCAATATGCGAGATGGCATATTTGTTAAGGATGTATTACACCGAGGCCCAGCATCTGAATCTGGTCGTATTGCTCCAGGTATGCTTTAGAACCCTTAGCATTATTTGTGAATGATCAAGTCTGCATTTAAATGACAGTTTGACTCAGTTCAAGTTTATAACATTGTGAACTTAAATGTTTAAAAATTATACTATACAAATAATTTTGTTATGTATATTTTTAGCCACAAAATATCTGGAACTCCTTTTAAAATGCTGTAAAAATAATTGGTTTAGTTTCTTTTATCATTGAACAATTTTATATCAACTTTGAGGTAATATATCATTAAATGAAATAGGTAGTGGTTTATTACTTTGCAGCTCTAAAAATCAGTAACATCACAGCAGTTCACAGACTTTCTGATGTTTGTGGAAAATTGTTTTTTCTTTCAATGCATTCTTATTGAAATTTGGAAAACTGCAGAAATGTATTTGTGGGTGAATGTGTTTCACTTGCACATATTATGAAAATTCAATAAAAACAAAGTAAGTAAAGGTATCCCTGTAACAGGCCATGGAGGCCCATAGGGTTGTTAGATATTGAGGTTCCCACACGCGCTGGCCGCCCTTTACCCTTTACCCTTCTGTTAGAGGCTGAGTTGACCCCAGGACCATAGTGCGGCTGGAAGGATTAGGTCAATTGAATAGAATCCAGTGACCTCATCGGGACTTGAACCCGCGACCTTCTGGCTTTTAGTATAGTGCCTCAACATGAAAATTCAGTAGCATGAGAATTTTTAAAAGTATGACTTTGAGATGAAATAATAATATTCAGCAGTTGAATTTCTGCAAAAAAAAAACATTAAGAAAAAAAATCATTAAGGAGGCTCCTAGATTAGAATTTCTTAACCTCTTTGTACTTCAGATGTAATTGAAACAGTTCTCTTTCAGTACATGAAATGTTAATCATTTTCCTTTATATTTTGATCAGTGCTAGTCTGAAATATTTTTGAAGATGTGTTGTCATCAGACAGTGATGTAAATTGTTACATCATCGTTACAGAGCTACAAGATTCAATTTTTTCGACACATAATGGGACCCAAAATCACCACTGAAAATCCTGTTCAACACACAGGATTTTTTTTCCTGCTAATTTGCTTCTCCGTGGTATGACATAACTCAAAAAATGTTTCAAACAGAGTGTACGTACTATTACTACCATATAGATTCATATAAGAAATAAACGTTATATTTCGAAAATATCTTCATGTCAGAATAGCAGCTTATAAGCTTACTGTGGCTAAACTCTGTCCTAGACAACTGGAAACTCATGCATGCCGTGTAGGAGCCTGAATTTGGAAGTAATACAATAAATTGTGTAAAGCAGGTGACCGGATTGACAGCATTCGCATCAGTTTTCGTCACATGGTGTTTGAGGATGCATTAACCATTCTAAGCTACTCCTCACCATATGACGTACAATTAGAGGTAGAGAATGCTTCTACCTCACACCCCAACACCCTGATTCGCACAAAGAAAACATCTGGTTCAGGCATTGCACCAGCAGACAGAATTTGTCACCCATTCTACCGCAGTCAATCAATTGCAGACCTTGCTCAGGTAAGCAACATACATGGTATCACTGAATTGTATTGTATGAAACAAAAGAGCACTCTAGTTCTGTGTGCTCTCTTAACATGAGTGACCAACTTTCATTTGCATTCAAAACAACAGGTAAAATGTTAGTTTTGTATACAGTTGTCATTATGGTTTTACATAGACAACAGGAAGGCAAAATGCTTTGAGCTGATTCAGACCTTTCACAGATTTAATCTTCTCTTAATTTCTTCATGATTGCAGTTTCAGTTCATTGCTGTCATTCCCAGATATCTCATTATTATCTCATTCTTTAAGTATTTTAGTAAGCTCTCTTCTTGCATGTCACCTGCAAAATTCAATTGTATTAGCAGCAAAACAACATATTCAATTTTGAATATTAGGAAATAAACGAGATATGACAAAGAGCAAATGAGAAGCTATGCCATTTCGTTTAAAGTGCAAACCATTCAGCATATCCCACTCTGTTACTTTATATTTTTAGAAGAGCGTGTCCATCAGGTGTGTCAGACAGTTAAAATATTTTTTTTTCTTTTCCTTTATTGACAATCAGATTGTACAATCTATAAGTCAATATGCTGATTGGTGTATAGCGAATTTATTGAACACTCGCTCTCACAATCACACAATTTACAATCTCACAATTACTGCCCTCGGCAGTCTCACAAATTATCACATCAAATCTTCCAACCACGTGTTCGGGTCTTCTTCCTGCCAGGTGTTCCAGTCGGCCATCATTTGTTCATGTCTGGCGTCCGCTTTTGCGTGGTTGGATTTCATGTTGGCGTATATTGTTGCCAGCATTTTCATCATCTGCTGCATCTCCATTTTGTAGCACTAAAATACTCGATGCACTCGTAAATTCGATTATTCGTCGAGGCATGTTCAAGTTTGTAAACCACTTCTGACACCAAATTGTCACGTGTTGGGTATGCCACGCGACAAATAACTTTAGGGTGGGTCTCGGATTCAGCGAATATTTATTGAACACATGCGTTTACACACTTAACGAGTGTAATTGTAATCCACTACTTCACTGTTATAATTACTTCCTGTACCACTGATCTCGGTGACGTCTTCTGTTCCCTTTTTCAGCTCCGAGCTGGTTTCTGCTCTGTTTGGAGCTACACTAAGAACTGGCCGACTGACTCCAACGGGTGCTGGAACTTCACTGTTACTCCGGCGGATGCTATATTTCAACTAACTTGTCTCGTCGAAGTTGGGCTTTTATAACCTCAAAGGTTGCTATGTAGTGAACCTTCTGTTGTCATGCAACCCTTCGAACAATTCGTTACCTTTCATCTTGTAGAAGACGCGTTTGTTTGCCCCAGGAAACGGTCCACTGTTATTGCGTTGTCTCTGTGGGAACTCTCCGTGTATTCGTCGTAACCGTGGAGACTCATTGTAGGCTGTTAACTTCCTATTGTGGCCTTTGCATAGCGATGACCGTAAGATAGCACGTTACAATATAATAACTTTATTGTACACTCTTCATGGCATGAGCGGAATAAACATCCAGTGGTCTTTTCCTCAGTTCCTTAAATCTGGTGGCCAAATTCTTTTGAGTCTTCGATTTTGGCGAGGTTGTAATAGTGGTTGAAGTAGTGGGTTGGAGTGATTTTCTAGTTGGTTGAAGTACTTGGTGCTGTTTTCTCGGATGACTTCTGTTACGTAAGGAGTTTTTAGACCTGTATGTAGGGTGTGGTTGGATACATACCATGGTGCGTTCATGATGGTTCTGAGTATTTTTGACTGGGCACACTGTATAATGGCAATGTTGGATTTGCTGGCGCAGCCCATGAGTTCTGTGCCATATGTCCATGTACGCTTGATGACTGTTTTGTAGATTAGTAACTTTTTTTCGATGGAGAGGTGGGATTTTCTTCCTATGAGCCAGTTGAGTTCTTTGGTTTTATGGTCCATCTGTTTTCTTTTCTTGATTATGCGTTGTCTCCAGTTTAGTTTGTTGTCAAAGGTTATTCCTAGGTATTTGACTTGTTCTTTTGGTTGTATGTTGAAGTGATTTATTTGCAATGTGTGGCAAGTGCCTTTTTGGAGGGTGAAGGTTGGTTGTGTGGACTTTGATTCGTTTACCTTGATTTTTCATTTGTTTAGCCATGCTTCTATGAGGATTAGAGGATCTTGTAGATGTGAGGAAGCTGTGGCTGGATTGTCGTTGGCAGCGAAGATAGCAGTGTCATCTGCAAAAGTTCCTATTATCGTTTCTTTTGTTGTGGGTAGATCATGTGTGTTGAGAGAGTATAATAGTGGGCTTAGTAAGCTTCCTTGGGGCACCCCTGAGTGGATTGGTAGATGGTTGGATATTTCCTCATTTATTTTGATTTAGAAAAATCTTTCGCTTAAATATGATTAGAGTATATTGTAATAATTTGTTGGGAAGATTCTTTTTATTTTGTAAAGTAAGCCAGGATGACAGACTTTGTCAGAAGCCTGGGCTATATCTAGAAATGCTGCTGTGCAGTACTGTTTGTTATTTAGCGCGTTTGTTATGCGATGACTTTGTTGAATGGTTGAGTGGGCCATCGAAAACCAAACTGGTGGTTTGGTATCCATGTTTGTGGGTTTGATTCTTGGTTTACTTTGTTGAGTATTAGTTTTTCGAGGACTTTTGAAATTGTGGTAGAAGGCTTATTGGTCGGTAGGATGTGACGTCAGTTGGATTTTTTCTTTTTTCTTTTTGGTTTCAAGATCATGATTTGGGCGCTTTTCAGCGGACGAGGCCAATAGTCCAGTCTAAGTATGGCGTTAAATATGTGTAGGAGTTTTATTTGGCCTTTTCATGGTAAATGTTTTAGTGTTACGGCTGTGATGTTATCATGGCTTGGTGCCATTTTTGGCTTTAGTGTGTATATTGCTTCTTGCATTTCCTTAGGGTAAAGAGCTGTGGTCGTTGGAGTCTCTGTATGGGTACATTTAGAAGGAAGTTTACTTCTTGTACTTGATTATTGTTGTGTGGAGTGAATACTTCATGTAGATGTTGTGCAAATAGGTCGGCTTTTTCTTTGTCGCTTCTTGCCCAGATTCCTGGGGGTGATGTGAATTTGCGTATGGGCATTTTTTGTTTTTTATTGGTTTCCAAATGGAATTGTCTTGTCTTGTGAGGCTTGTGACATAGTTCTTGAATGATTCGTTCTTTAGTACTTGTAATTGCGTTTTTAGCTTTTTGCTGATTTTGTTGTATTTTGCCCTGTTTTTGAGAGTGTGAGCCTTCTGCCAGGTTGATATAGCTCGTCTCTATTCGGCTATTAATTTTTTTATTCTTAACGGTATGATATTTGTAGTGTTCTTTCGATCATTTATGGGGGTTGCTGTTTTGGCGGCTTCTTGTAGTAGGGTGATGAAATTTTTACATTCGTTTTCTATGTCGGATGGTTCTTTCAGCTTAATTTTTAGTTTTGTGTTGTCTTCTATTATTTTCTTGAAGAGATTCCGGTTTGTTTTGGTGTTGTGAAGTCTTTGCTTGGATTTCCATAGTATAACTGATGTGCTTATTGTTGCAATGATCGGAGTGCGGTCTGATATTAGGTCAAGATTTGCAGTTGTGTTTTGTGTAGTTAAGAGAGATGCCTTTTGTTATGAAGAAGTCTAGTAAGTCAAGAATTATATTTTCATCGGCGGGCCAGTATGTTGGTGTTCCAGTTGATATGATGGAGTAATTGTTATAGCGGGGAGGGCAATAGACCGCGGTAATGGTGAAAGCATAAGGAAATATTTTGACTATTTTTCATATTTTGATAGTTCACGATGTTCGATTTTCTCTTTGATTAGGATTGCAGTGCCTCTGTGGGCTGTGTCTTCGGGGTAGTTTGTGTGGTAAAGCTTGTATTTGGGGATATTGAAGTAGCTTCTGCTGGTGAAGTGGGTTTCGCTGATTAGCAGGATGTCGATTAAGTTTATGTTTAGAAATATTTTTATATCTTCTTGATGATTTGGGAGTCCATTGGCGTTCCATTGGGCTATTGTTAGGAATTTGGCCTTTTATTTCGTTTTGTTGACGAGTGTTGTTAGCATGTTTAGTACCATAGTATTTTGTTGTAATAATTGTTCAATTAAATTTTTGGATTCGTCTAGGAAGTTTGCTAGTATGTTAGTTGTTTCTTCTGTTTGGGATAAATTTCGCTTTGTGATTTCTGCGTAGCTTCTGGGTTGAGTTATTTCTAAATGTTGTATATTTCTCGTGTAGGATTCATTTGTGTAGATTGCTGAAGTAGAGGGTCGTTTAGAAAAACTTCTGCTGGTAGCTTTGGTTAGATTACGAAAGTGTTCACATCCTCTGTAGTTTGCGGGGTGGTTTCCTCCGCATAGTGCGCATCTGGCTGGTGTTTCCCTTGTCTTCTTGCAGTCTGTCGTGTTGTGTGAGCCGCTGCATTTGGCGCATACGTATGGCTTATTGCAGTATGTTTTTGTCTGGCCGTACTGTTGACATCTCATACATTGGATTATATTTGTTTTGTTTGAGTGGGGGGGTTCTATTTTTACTATTCTGTTTTGGAGTCCTGTTATTTCATATATATTTTTGTTGTTTTGGGCTGGTTCTGGGTCTACAAAGAATAGGTTCAATGGCTCTTTAGTAGCTTTATGCTATACGTTGATATATTTCTGACTCTGTGTCCTAGTTCAGCTAGTTCTTGTTTTATGTCTTCTATTTTTGTTGAGTAATGAAGGTATCATTACTATTCCATATGCTCGTTCTTCTTTCATTTGTTAAGTGAGGTGTATATTTTTTGTTCGTTGAATTCTCTGATCATATTTTTGTAGGTTTCTGGAGTTTCACAGTTTATTTTGACAATGTTGTTTGCTAGACTTTTGGTGAAGTATTGCTCTTGTTCGGCTATTTTTTTGGATTCGTTTTATCATTTCGGAGTAATTTTATATCCCATGAACGAATATTGGTGGCGGTTTAGGTATTTTTGGCATTATGGTGATTTCATTGTTTGAGGTTCCTGCTTGTTGAGAAAGTGAGTCGTATCAGTTGTTGGTTTCTATGTTATTTGTGATGATTATTTGTTGATTGGAGGTTTTTTTCCTCTTTGTGCTTCGGATAGTTTGTCATTTGTTATTGTTATTTTTCTGCGTTTCTTCTTCCTCTTCTTCGCTGGATGAGGTCATTTTTTGTATGTGTTGACCTCTTTCTTTGTTTATGTAATTGATGTTGGGTGGTTGCATTTGCTGTTTCTACTGTTGTTGTGTAGTAATTGGGGGGTAGTTGCATCTGTATCCCTTGGATTTGTGATGGTATCGCAGTTGGTGAAAATGGGTATGTTGGTGGGTTCATGGTTGGCCAATGTATGTTGGATGGGTTATGATTTTGTTAATTGGTAATCCTATTGTATTCTGGTGTGATTTCTGCAGGGTGCATCATTGTAGCTGTGAATTGTTTACATCACTGTCGTATCTGTTGGTTTGAGGTTCCTGTTCTTGTTTGATTTGCACTGTTTTTCACTATTTGTTGCTTTTTTTCGTTTAAGGGGTAGTTCACTCATTGAGCCGGTTCTCGATGAGTGCTTATGATTTGAAGCCCAGACGAGTAGTGACAGTTGAAATATGAGTGAGCAGCTGTGAAACATGTATGAAAGATAGGACGTTGGAATGGAAAATCATTTTTGTTTTTCTATACAGGTAAAGGTAATGTTGTCCATGTGCTTAACTAATTTAAGTACTACACCATGAAGGTGTATGGGGGAGTGGATGTATAGATCCACATTTTCTTGACCTCGGCACTATTTGGAGGTGAGTGGTCAGCTTCAGCCCAGGCTGCTTTACTCCCAGGGAAGAGCCCTGGTACCTACTGGATAGGAGGTTGGGTGAACCTCAGAGCCTGTCTGGACAAAGTGGAGAAGAGAAAATTTTTGGCCCTACCAGGACTCGAACTCTGACTCCTTAGTCTTCCAGCCCATAGCCAGTCACTATACTGACTGCTCTATCCCGGTTCATGTGTTATACAGTCTACACATCATTAAGTTCTTGGATAAGAACATTTTCACTGATGTGATCAACATCATTATTTCTTTGGCATAAAATTACTTTGTTGATGTTATGTCTAAGAGGAGACAGACAATCCTAGCTGTTGAGTTGGTGCTTATTAGTTTTATTGGAAATGGGATGATGTTATTGCTTAAATACATGTATTCATGACCTGAATCGTGATTTGTTAGAATGCAGTACAACCTTACTGATATTTAAATGCTCTATATACTCAAGTATTATATGCAAAACTGACTTCTGTAGTTTACAAACCTCTATAAACTTCAGTCTTTCTTTAAGCTGATTTTAGTGTGAGTCGTATTCATAGTTTTCAATGAGGAATGACTTCTTTCAAAATAAACATACCAAACATGAGACTCATGTTAATATTTAAAATATCTTGTAGATTCAAAGCACATTCTCCTGTTTTTAATTAAATGTGTTTGATATTTTACAAGTTACATTACATTGCTTCCATTTTGTTGTTATAGATTGGCAAAGCAAGCTTGAAGAGGATGCAGCAGATGGGCAGAATTAACAAGTCACCCCATATTGAGTCACAGCCGGATGAGAGTGGGGATTATCAAACTGCCAAGCTGTCTTCAACACCTACTGGAAATGAAACAAGGAAAGATAACACAAAACTGGAGAAAACAGCATCTATACCTGGTCTAGCTATTGTTAAGCCTTCTAAAGCAAGAAGAGCCCAATATAAGGGTCTTGCTTCTCCACCAAATGGTCTTGAAATTCAGGAGTCTCAAAGTCATGAAGGATCTACTAAGGACACACTCAGCAAATTCCAGAAGTTTGGTGTGCGTGTACTTCCAGACTCAAATGCAAGTCACAGCAGCTCACACACTAGCCATAAAGAGGCAAAACAGAGTTCAAGTGGAGAGTATCCTCCTGGACAGGGAACCAAGACACAAGAAATTGAACCAGAACACAGACAAAATGAACACAATTCCATCATTGAAAAAGTTGTTGAAGGCGCCACAACTCAGGTTCCAGTCAATAACGAACATTCTGGCCAGAGGAGCCCAGTTCCCATATCCACCTCAGTGACTGACGGTGCAGGAGGGAAGTCAAAGCCAGACTTCTGCTATGATGAACGAGGAATAGATGTTGGACCCATTGGTCCACAGAAAAGTTATCCTAAACAGAGTTTTACAGGACATCAGCCTGAAGAAGGAAAGCAGAGTGGTGACACACATGGGGAAAGCAATGTCAAGAATCTGTTGACAAAGGGATTCCAAAATCTCAAGGACAAGATGCATCATGTTGAGAAAAAGAAAAATGGTGGCCAGATATCTGGTAGCATTGAACAAGAGGTGCATGACTTAACAGGACAACCAGCTTCACCACATCTACCAAAAGTAGCTGAGATTGGACTTTCTAGAAAGAATGGAACATCTCAACAACAGGAGGGTAAGCAAGATGAACAGGAAGGTGAAATACCCACAGAGATTCCTGAAGAAGTATGCAGAGCAGCCATGGCTGCCCTCAGCAACAGGAAGTCTGTAAGCAATGCAGTAATGGAGACTCAAGTTGGAGAAAGGAAAAGAACTGTCCTACAGGATGGTCTTAGTGGAGACAGCTCCAGTGAAAGTGATGATGCCACTACTCCTGGCAACATGGACAGTGATAGTCTGGGGAGGACACCTAAGAAATCAAATAAGAGAAAAGCTCCTCCCCCTCCACCAGAAGAAAATGAAGAGAAATTAATATCAGGCGGTCAAAGCCCATACCTTGGGTCTGACAAGGTCACTGAAGAAGAAAATCCTAGCTCTTTTCCAGAGAATCAAAAACTGAAAGATGGTACATCACAACATTACAGTAAAACACACACAGATGCTGAAAATGTGCAGATGACTGAGAGTATAATGGCTTTGCCTCTTACAGGAAAAAGCACCTCATTTGCTGACATGGTAAGGCCACTCAATAACATCGATGTAAAGCAAAGAGAAATAACAAACATCACAGTTGATGGCAATTCAAATACGCCTTTAAGGGGAGATATTATAGCATATGGTGCTTCGGTTTCAGAGAACCAAAGCACTGGTGGATTACCTGGAAGGGATGAAAATGTGATACAAGATCCTGTGCCTCTACAACAGCACCTGGACTATGATGAAGGTGTGAATGTCAGTAGCATTAACTCTGACTCTGACTCAGATATGGAGCAACTGGAGGGAAATTCTGAAAGTTATGAAGGTACAGTGAAGGACAAGAAGGCAAAGAAGGGGGGCACAACGATAGAACTCAACTCCTCTCATATCACTATTCACCACAGCCCATCATCAGACACTGTACAATTGGAGAATGAGAATACTCGCAAAGCAGCATCACTAGGTGATCTTTCACGCCTTGATTCTGAACAACCCATGAGCATCTTGGAACGGGCTGTGTCATTGGATCTTGCAGATGGTGGTACACCACATGGTAGTAAAAAACGGAAAGCTCCACTTCCACCACCTGGTGAGGATTACCTTGGTGGTGTGCCAGATGGAGATGATGGCATTGCACATAGAAAGGAACCTCGCCTGGATACTGCCATGGATACATTCCAGAGGCGTCGGCTCAAAAAGTCTTCTGACTGGGGTACACTGGAGGAGGCACTAATGCAGACAGGTAACAAGGCTGTAGACCTTCAAACTTCCAAGAGCACTGAGCCTACAGAAAGAGAAGAATTACATCTGCAAAGCGCAGTAACTGTGCTCAGGTCGACGCCAGTTGAACAGTTTCCAAAATCCATTGAGAAGAAAGAAGTTGATGCAGGAACTGCAGTAGCTACTTTTACAAATTCTCACCCAGGGATAACCAGAACAGATATTCTCGGTGCAGATGAGGTGGGTTACTCATCTGTCTTGGAATATGGAAGCAGTGGAACAGAGAGCATGGAGCAAATGGAGAGTGAAACACCACAACACCAACAGAAAACTGTTTTGCGTATCACCCCTGAACCAGTCAGTGAACCAGACTTCAACCTTACTGCATCTCAAGTTAACATTGCTTCAGGTACATTCAGTATGACACCAACATATAATGATACCAGCAATGTCTCTGGGGAAGTAGAAACCATGCCAAGGCTTCAAGCAGATGCTGCACATGCATTTAACACAAAAGTGGCAGGGCTGTCATCACCACGGCAATCTGGCAGCAGTTCTATTGTAGGACTTGTTAGTTCAACACCAATCTCTCATGGTGGAGATACATATAATATGACAACAGCATATAATGGTGCTGAATCTGTGCAGTCACCTATTATTACCTCCAGTCATGCTGGCATTAGCAGTGTTCATGTGGTCAGTTCAACAACACCTGATATCAGTAATTCAAATTCCATTTTTGCTTCCTCTATCACAGATCCATTCACAACGGCAGTTGATTCCACAACAGCTGTATTAGCTGGTGAGATATCCAAGGATGATGATAGTGAAGATCCTACATGGGGACAAGACGCACAGCCTCCAGAGCTACCAACATCCCCAGTTCCAGTTCTCAGTCAGCTGTCATCATATAAACCCTCCCCATCCATGACTTACATAACAGAAATCCAGGTGGTTACCACTGCAGACAGCAGCACCAAAGATTTGACAGCAGAATCAAGCCCTGAGGAGCAGCATACAACACCTGAAGAAATCTCTAGCAGCACCGTGACACAGAGAATACACAAGTACAGATCTGACTCGAGTCTGTCAACAGACTCTTTCACAAGTGAAGGTGATGACAAAGAACCAGATACTGCTCACAGTGTCACTACACAAGGTAGCACACCTCAGAAGGGCAAAGTTACGGTCACATCCATCCGCAACACAGTTTCCAGAATACCCATGAGGATCACAACAGACAGAATGCAGCCTGTCAATATTGCCAGCAATAATTCAAATCACGTTTCAAGTCTGGAAGACAGGAGAGTCAAGCCTGCAAGGCCACCGGTTCCTCCTAGAAAGTCAGATAGCACAACTACATGTGCAGTTTCTGCAGAGGGTGGTGGAAGTGGAAGGATGCTCAGTCACATCCAGCAACTTCCTGTAGACAGTATCCACATGGGGCCCACAGCTGGCAGCAGCAGTGGTAAGTTCATCAGTTTCTCATCACTGACTCCTCAAGTTACAGCATCCATTGAAAGTAATGCTACCAGGAACAGCACAAGTTTTGAGCAGTGGGTTTTCCTTGATGAAGGCAGTACACATAATGGACTGAAAGAAAGAAAAAATGCAGACGATTGTTCTAGTGCATCTCACTCAACGGTAGTCTCACTTCCTGCTCGAACACAGTCTGTTACACACATTGTACTGGATAGTAAACAGTCCAATGGAAGCCATGGAAAGCCATGAAGATGAAATGGAAAAGTTCTTGTACATATAGATGAACAGCAATGAATGTAATCTGTTGCTGTTGTCAGTCAAGAATAAACACAATTGACATACAACAGTCTAATATTCACGGGGGGGGGGATGTTTTAAGTTCATTAGTGCCAATTGGAGGGTGGGTGGTTTATCCATTTGTCTTGATACACCAGTACTCAGCAGAACTGCATGGTCAGTCACCTAGCCCCAGATAAATTGTGTTTCATATTTGATCAAAATTAAGAAGATACTCTATAAAGTGAGTTCTACTGTTGTCCGAGACAGTGTGGTGTGAAGGTTGCCCATAACAGCAATTTTAGCTGTTTACATCTTATACTAATACCGGGGGATAACTTTAAGTCATTATTCACATATTTACATATGATTGTGCATCTATAAAGTTTCAGAATTATAATCAAATAACTTTATAGCAAATTTCAAGGGACCAGATCAAAACTCTATGTATGTTTTAATTCTGTGTTTATTTAATTTTCTACTACTTTACTCTGGTGCGAAAATAGCTGTGACTCACAATAGTGTGATGATCAGATTGAGAATTTATTTGATCCAGAAATGTGCAGTGATGATCTGTTATGAATATTGTCCATTCATTTGCTCTAAGTGTATTATCACAGTAAACCCTCACCAAATTCAGTGCCATCATTTACTGTCTTAATTGTGGCTGTCTCAAGAATGCAACAGTATTAGGACACATATGGTATATTATTACATTGAAAGTCCGCTAGTTTGGCAGTTTATGGAATCCAAAAAAATGTCAGCATGTTTTGCATAGGGCTATATTTTACATGTTCACAAGAAACTGAAGAAATGTATTTTAATTTCCTTCTTCTGACCATTTTGGAGAGTGACAGAAACAAGCCAGAACTCACTATAACTTTTGTTGCTGACTTTAATAATTACAACGTTTCCGTTGTAACAGGTACTATAAGTTTTTTGGAAGATGGAGGATGATATACATAACTGATTCACAGTTAGATGAATTAAAAACTTGGTTGGAACCTTGTCCCTTTGAAATGTTTCCTGTAAATACCCTCATGCCATCTTTAAATGAAGCAATTTTTAAATAATATTCAGCAACAACAACAACAAAAGATAAACTAAAGTCAGTAAAAAATGTGATTTCTTCTAACCCTAAATTGTTATTTTTATTTTGTACATGCAACAGCTGGTTAGATTATTTTAACATGGTGATGGTGGGATCTTTTATTATAGTGATAAGACAATTCAGAAATAAGCGTCATCTTGTATTTGTCCACTATATGGCAGCAGGTGCATGTGATGTTATGTAAGATGATATTTCCTGAACATGATAATTTGAGGCTCCCATAATGTGAATAAAGAAGTTTGGGCTCCCTCCCCCTCAATTAATAAACATTTTTTGAAACATGATTAAGTGAACTAAAAACAACTACTAGTGGACATAATGACGCATATACAGTACTTTTTCTGTTATCTTGTATGTTTTCTAATTTAATGTTGCCTTTTGGGTTTGAAATCAGTTTAATGTCTTTGTTAATGGCCTTCTTTTAGTAGTGCGTGGAAAAGTTTCACGACCCTTGTCTGACCACAGCTGCCACTTTTTGAATGGGACTGCCAACAGAACAAGGCATTATATATATTAATATTTATTGTCCCCAAGTACCCACTGCAGTACTGTAGACAAAGTGCTCAGTGATGGCATGCCAGAATGATTCCACCACTCCACACCTTATATGCATTTGTGACACATTAAACTTTCAGACATCATAGCCCTTATCTTTTGTGTGGGTGGCAGAAGACACACATTGAGTTATCTCATGGCTATCACTGAAATGTAAGCTATATTTGAAGTGTGTGCAAGGGGTCTGACACAGAGGATTGATTTACAAGACAGCCAATTGATAATTGGGTATGGATGATAACAAGGAGGTAAAGGAGAACAGATATGCTGTTGCCTTACATCTCGGACTATTTATATTTACAAAATACAGAAACAGTATTATTTCCATACGTAGGGCTCATTCATTTTTTTCATAATTGAATTGTGGTCGATGCATTATGTAATGCAGACTTCATACCAAGATTTATATGCTTGTACTTGTATTTTAGTGACGGGTCTTTAGAGACAAAATCAGAAGGCTCATGTAAGCTGTGCATCAGGGTTGTCCACTTCCTGGCAGACTATCTGGCTTGAGAATTCTACTGAGTGTTTTCTTGCTGTTTCTACAGCAGTTCTTCAAATGTAAGTGGATGAGACAGAATCTCACCAGAATTTGGACACCCATGATGAAGGAACTTGCCCTCTAGTACATGATATGTGTTCGTTTTTTGCCCTAATCATAGAGGTGGTACATAATTTGAAAAAATAGAATCTGTAAAGGAGTACTGGTGGCATTTAGAACAGTTTCACAAACATGTATATACTGTGGTCCTTAGGGTCATGACACCATGCAGTATAGTATGAGGGTACCAAAGTTTTGGAGGATCACATTGTCTACATTTTCAGGGAAGATGTAAGTAAAGTCGCGAAAGTGGTAGGTTGTATAAGTATTGAAGTAAAGAGAAAGGAAACAAGTCATGGATGATAGAAATATCTGGATTACTTTGGACAAGGTGTGACCTAATGGCCATGGTTTGGAACAAAGAGACCGTTATATCTGAAACCAGTATGCCCTCTGCAAAGAAAAGTTGCTTAAGCAGTAACATTTTTGAGGTGTTAAGTTGAAATATCAATGGGACACTGTCCTGGCAAGGTTGTTCATATTTTCCTCAGCCTCCCCCCAGGTAAATATCAGGATAGTACATCAAATTTGGCCACAACCATTTCTTTTCCAATAATTATTTACTAAGCATCCTAACATTCAACACTTTATACTCTGAGCTACTGATACACTTAACTATATAAACCACAAATATAAGTAGGCAAACATCCAACAGAAGGTGGAAACTACTCTTATGCCCTACAGAGCAAGTTGGCTCAAGCTGTAATTACTATGTATTTTTTAGCCTGTCTTTCACAACAACTCACCTATAAATAAACAACTGAAGGGGGCAAATTTATTGATGAAATCAGTTTTTTATTTACAAAGAATACAAACTACATGTTTCAGTCATAGGTGACCATCATCAGGTGTTTAAACTATTAAAATATGTGTTAACGTACTGTCGTATCCCGAGCTGAAGGTCTTGGGCCCTTGAACAGGCAGCTGGAATACTCGCCTACAGATGAGCCGAGCGGATGCTGATCTGCTCAGGTTGCTGCGGAGCGCTGGGTAAGGCATCGCTAAAGGGTGATTTTGCTCAAAGAACAATTATCGGTGGTTGGTGGATAAAGACTGTTTATTTAAAGAACCATGAATACAATCTCATTTGCCGAGACTGCGGAACACCCAAGGCAAGCGATCTGTATAGCAGCGTTTTCTCTGGATAAGTGTAAAGATGAAGAGTCCCCCTTCCACTTAGTTTGCGGGAATATATATATAGGCTTCTACATTGAAGGCCCCCCCCCTAAAATGTCATAGGTAGGTAGATAGCGTCCTTACGTGTTCTTTGTCTTGGCTTTACACGTCTGTGTTCCAGTACCAGAAACACCTGGAATAGATTAAGCGTCATAGATGGCTAGATTAAGCGTCATCTCTGGTCTGTGTCACTCACTCCCTATTAGGGTCGTCATACATACACGACTTCCTTTGGCTCCCCCTCAGATAAACACATAAACATCCTTAACTAATTACTCTGACAGTGGGTTGGTTTTTTAATATGTGGCTCACAACCCACGGATAGGACAGTACAATGACTGCCGCTGTGGTCTAGTGGTCAGAGTTCTTGACTGCAGAACCAGAGGTCCAGATTTGTTTCTTGGCGCTACCAGATTTTCTGAGAAGTAGTGGATTTTGAACAGGGTCCTATCAGACTCATGAGGGTAATTGAGTAGCTATTTCAATGAAATAGTGGCTCCAGTCTAAGAAATTAATTTAATGGCTGTGGGGACTCGTGCGCTGACCACACGACATCCTCTATCCGCTGAAGTTGGCACTAACATCGCTGACAAGCGGCGATTGCTCGGTTAGTATTGTTCGCTTGCAAACTAAAACCACTGAGTTTGTTGTTTTGTTTTGTTAACGTACGTTATTGACTGCTTGTTTATAATGGATTCATTGCAGATAGTCCCATATTGCACAACCTTTTTCAAGATTGCAGTACTATAAAATATATTAGATTGATTATTAAATTAGATATTTCTGTAATTTATTTCCATTGTTTTAGTTATTACTTACAATTAGCAGTTAAACTTAAACATAGCCTACTGTATATAGGGTTTTGTAGTGGAATGGGGAGCATGGGGAGTGGAGTTGGGAGTTGGAATGTGTTGAATACAATCATGTTAGGGTATGTTCTATGCGGGGGCATGGGTGTTTTGTATGTGTAAATGTATGTGTATATATATATTGTGGGGCGTGGAATGCTTCAAATTTCCAGGATATATTTAGTACTGATGGCTTCATTCTGACTTGTTTTGGTGGTTCATGTATTTAACTCTCATTCACTGTTTTATTGTCCTATATTGAAGTGCTTTTCATGAGTTTTTGATTGAAGTTGCTGTTTCCTGGTTTTATATTTAACTCGTCAGTCATTTTGTTGTCCTATATGAAAGTGTTTTCCAGAGTTTATTCCCAACAATACAGTGGGGTAACATCGCATCTATAGTAACATCAAAACCTCACCACCAGCAAATACTATATGGACCTGTAATCATAAGATGTCATTTATATCTGTATCTACATTAAATTAACATTATACAAAATCCATTTTCCAGAAAATAAAAACAGCAACATCAGACAAAAAGTCTCACAGAAAACACTTCCATATAGGACAACAAAATAACCCAACAAGGTGATACAAAATGATGAAACAACAACACGGTAGTATTCAACACATACCACCTCCTGACCCCATTTCACTAAAAAACCGTATACACAGTAGGATATGTTTTAAGTTTTAACTACTAATTTTAACTAATAACTATAATAATGGAAATAAATTATCAACATACCTAATTTAATAATCAGTCCAATATATTTTATAGTACTGTAATCTTGAAAAAGGTTGTGTAAGGCAGGACTATCTGCAATGAATCCATTGTAAACAACAGTCCAATAATGTACATTAACACACATTTTAATATTTTAAACACTTTATGATGGTCACATGCAACCAAAACATGTAACCTATATTATTAGTAAATAAAAAACTGATTTCATGAATAAATTCATGCCTTCAATTGTTTTTTTATAAGTTAGCTGTTGTGATAGACTAAAAAATACATAATAGACATACAAAACAGGATGAAAGTCAAACACACAAAGGTTGAGCTGTAATGTTTTGGAATTTATTCAGGAGATAATCAGTTAGAATCTGTACAGGGCATTGACTGGGGCACGCGGTAGCGTAGTTGGTTGAGGAACTATGCTACAAGCCAGGAGATCGCTGGTTCCAAGTCCTGATGAGGTCATTGGATTGTTTCAGTTGACTTAATCGTTCCAGCTGCACTATGGCCCTGGGGTCGACTCAGCCTCTTAACAGAAATGAGTACCAGGAATATTCTTGGAATATTCTTGGGGGTAAGGTCTGCCAGCGCGTAGGGCTGACAACCTTGCCACCATGTATGAGCTGATTGTCTAGAAAATGTGGTAACCTCAACATCTCACAACCCTATGGGCCTCCATGGCCTGTTACAGGAATACCTTTACTTTACTTTTTTACAGGGTATTGACTGTCCTGACTAAGGTTGTTTATAGTTTTCTTCAGTCCCTCCTCCACGTCATCTCCAGTAATTATTCACTAATCAACCTACCATTCAACAACTTATATTCCATGTTACTAACAGCATTGCTATGTAAACCATAAATATAAGCATGCAGATATTCTAATCATCGTTGAGCCCTTACATTGAGCGTCACACTCTGACTGCCCCACAGTTGATCTGCATTGGTCTTTGGCCGCTGGCTGCTGGACTGCTATGGGCGACGGTGGCTACAGCTGGCTTTACCCTGTTTCACTTATCCTACTTTCACACCTCTGATCTTTAGGGGGATGGGTTTGGTTTGGGCACCAGTAAACTGCTACCATCAGTTTACAGATTCATGAAGGTGTGAAGGATTGATAAGGGGGTAGCTTTCGGAGTAGCTAGTTCCAATGGTAGAGCTAAGATTCTGACCTCAGGCCGTTTGGCAGGGTATCGCTCAGGAAGGGAAGTGGGAACTCCTGTTACAACAACACACTTTGTTCCACCAGACACACTATTAAACTCTTGTCCATAGTGGACCCCACTAACGCACTACATTCAACTTGTGTCCACTGGGTTTGCGATCTTGAACCAGACTCCTTCCAATGACTTCTCTTTTAGAATTTGCGTCCTAATAGTTTTCGATCTTGAGTAAGACTCCTTGCAGAATTTGCGTCCGAATGGTTTGGGCTTTTTAATAAGACTCCTTGCAGAATTTGTGTCCGAATGGTTTGGGATTTTTAATAAGACTCCTTGCAGAATTTGTGTCCGAATGGTTTGGGATTTTTAATAAGACTCCTTGCAGAATTTGTGTCCGAATGGTTTGGGATTTTGAATAAGACTCCTTGCAGAATTTGTGTCCGAATGGTTTGGGATTTTTAATAAGACTCCTTGCAGAATTTGTGTCCGAATGGTTTGGGATTTTGAATAAGACTCCTTGCAGAATTTGTGTCCGAATGGTTTGGGATTTTTAATAAGACTCCTTGCAGAATTTGTGTCCGAATGGTTTGGGATTTTGAATAAGACTCCTTGCAGAATTTGTGTCCGAATGGTTTGGGATTTTTAATAAGACTCCTTGCAGAATTTGTGTCCGAATGGTTTGGGATTTTGAATAAGACTCCTTGCAGAATTTGTGTCCGAATGGTTTGGGATTTTTAATAAGACTCCTTGCAGAATTTGTGTCCGAATGGTTTGGGATTTTGAATAAGACTCCTTGCAGAATTTGTGTCCGAATGGTTTGGGATTTTTAATAAGACTCCTTGCAGAATTTGTGTCCGAATGGTTTGGGATTTTGAATAAGACTCCTTGCAGAATTTGTGTCCGAATGGTTTGGGATTTTTAATAAGACTCCTTGCAGAATTTGTGTCCGAATGGTTTGGGATTTTGAATAAGACTCCTTGCAGAATTTGTGTCCGAATGGTTTGGGATTTTTAATAAGACTCCTTGCAGAATTTGTGTCCGAATGGTTTGGGATTTTGAATAAGACTCCTTGCAGAATTTGTGTCCGAATGGTTTGGGATTTTTAATAAGACTCCTTGCAGAATTTGTGTCCGAATGGTTTGGGATTTTGAATAAGACTCCTTGCAGAATTTGTGTCCGAATGGTTTGGGATTTTGAATAAGACTCCTTGCAGAATTTGTGTCCGAATGGTTTGGGATTTTGAATAAGACTCCTAGAATGCCTTCTCCTCGCAACCCTCAGAGTTGCCTCGGTCCGCAAGTCAACTCCAGAAATTAGGAGGATTGGTCATTTTCAAAAAAGGGGAGTACACTAATTAAGTATTCCCCCAATCCGTTTACATATTACAGGGAATTTAGGCGCTAAAACTTAATGTAAAATCTGTCAGTAGCTTGACATATGTTACACTTGGCTTGGGGTTGGGAGACCACCCATCTTTTGAGGTATGGGTTCAAAACTGTCACTTATTGTGTTCTCCAAGGATTCAGACCAGTAAAATTTTGTGTGACTTTCTAAAGAAACAAGCTGCCAGGGGGTCTTCCTCTTTCATTTCACATCTGCCTTGACCAGTCGTTTTCTATTGTCTTTTTCACTGGAGAGTTTGGGCTGAAACACCTTCTTGAGGGCAAGAAATAGCCTACGTACCTCTCGTCCATTTACTGTAGGTTATTAGTAAACGTAAATGAACAGGTTGATTTACCCGGATCCAAACATTCTACCAAATTAAATCAAGCTGGGGTAGGCAGATCGGTTACAATATCCACCATTTGGTGACACTTTCTCTGATAAGAATGGCAATGCTGTGAAATCTGTAGTTGCTGAGGACTATAACAGAGTGAGTGTTTTGTAACCAAGCCACAGATTGGCAAACAGGTACTCAATAAACAGTGATGTTATGATAAAAACATACTTCCTGGAAGCCAGCGGGAAAACCCATTGGCCACCCATGGGAAAACAATTGCATCGTTGAATATGTTTCGTTCACAAGCAAGGTAAGTGTACAGCTTGCCTGATATGAAAATGTTATATTGCCCCAAGCATTATAATATCCTTTAGGGATTGTCACTAAGGTGAATTTGTGAGGACAGTAACTTGATATGGGACAACCACAGGAGTCATATGGTAGACAGGTGAAAAATACAGACACTTGAATTTTTATCACGTAGGAGGTTCATACACAACTCCCTGGTGTGTAACAAATTATATAAATGAAATTCTGGCAGTCCCATCATCTACATTTTGTTCACTTATTTTGTATTTTCATCATTGATGGGTTTGAAGAAAAATATGTTTTTAGAAAATAGGCCAAAGTTTTAATTAAATGCTGTCATTTAATTTTGACCTAGACTTCCTGTGGGTAGGATTTACATCGGGTATGATAAAGTTTAAAAAATTAAGGCTACATTAACAGTCAAAATAAAATACAATTTCTGCTACTGAATATGGGTTTGGGCTTTTTTCTGTCACTCACTGTTCCATTAGACAGTAACATCAGTGAGGTAAACTGAGGTTATGAATTGAACTTGGTAAATTACTATGAAACCAAGGCAAACTTATTGGCTATGTTAAGTACCTCTGTTCCTTGATCTTTGTGAAACAGTGTCACAGAGAATAGTGTCCTTATTCTTACAAATGACAAAGACAGATGTAGATAAAC